CACTAATGTAACATAAACTTGTTCTACTCCTAATGCGAATGTGTTGTTCGCACCTTTCAGCTTAAAAGTCAATAAGGAACCCATTTTAGTGTTGGATCCGGTAAAATTCATATCAGGTTGCTTATCGAAATTTATTCCACCAATAAACTTATCGTTAGCGTATCTGTAAATGTCACTTGAAAAACCGTCATAAAACGGAGACATAACATTAACAGCACGACGTAAGAAATACATAGCTTCGGCTAAACTTTCTATTGCTTGTTCGGGGAACTTTTTATTCGCGATCTGAACATAATATGAAATTTGTTTGGTGCTGTCAATTACACCTTCCAAATTATCAATTGACGCTGACATAGGATGATAAAACCATGTCCATTTTTTCTTCGCAAAATTTGCCGCTGTGTTATTATTATCAATCTGTGAATTAGAAAGGGTAAAAAACATTTGAGATAATCGTGTCGAAGACTTAACAATATTCATATTGATTTCGGTATTTCCTGCCGCGAAAGATTGTGAAAAACTGTGATAGGCGGGATAAACCATACGAAGCCGACCCCCTTTCAATAAATGTGAAACCACGTTATTATTCACGGAATTGTCGACTGTTATTAATTCGCATCGAAGGATACAATTTTGAATAGACCAGCTAGTTGTGGTGTTTCGTGTGGTAAAATATAAACCATTAACATCGTCTTCCGCCTGCGTTCCTGCTACCGGCGTAGCCGGATTGATTACCGGTTCTTGTGCATCAGAACAAATTTCAAAAATAAATTCTAACGGACAATATCGAATAGGAGGATAATACCCTGATTGAACGAACCCGCAACATGGCTTATGCCCCATCCGAACGAATTTACCTTGCTCAATTCCTGTCGTGTTAGCTCTTGTAAGTTTTGGTAAAACAATTCCTCTATCATTTCTACCAGTAGTAGCGGTGGCATCGTGTCCTTCAATTGCAAACGCATAAAGTCTATTAATTCGGCTGTCATATCGTGTTAAACAACCTTCTTGGATGTCGTCTAAATTTCTTACTTCTTCACTTTTAAAAGATTTCATTTCTTCACATACTAAATTATAATTATCGATATCGTTAATTTGTTGTCCTGCCGCATTGCATCTATAACGAGTAAAAAAGGCGTGGCTTTCACCTAATGGTCTTAAATATTCTCCTGCCGTGGTTGATGTATTCACAACATCAAAAAATAAGCAAATGCTGGACATATCGATGTAATTGTTGTCTTCTCCCGTGATCACAAATTTAATATATTTATTACCATTATTTGAACTAAAAATATTTCCGGATACACTAGGGAAATGAACCTGCTTACGATCGGTGATATACGCGGCACTTTCGGGAAGTCCGAACTGTAAAGAATTTATCATGTTATCCTGTGTTTCAGCAATAACTAAATCCATAACTTATATATTATTTATTAGATTTTTTATTATTAATATTATTATATTTTTTATGTGAATTTAAATTGTTAATATTTTTTGAAATTGGTTTTTCTAATTGCGGTTGTGATACTGCCGTTGCATCTGCTTCAACAATTCCTCTGATAGTTTCATAAGATGAATTGTTGATGCTTTTCGTAAGCTTGTTTTTAAATTGGACGTTTTCGGGGGCTTTTCCTACCCGTGTTTGTTCCTTCGGTTTCCTGACCTTATTAAGCATTCTATTATATTATTTAGGAAAATCATTTTTCATCAGGTGGTAGTGTCTCACTAACTCCATCAAATGCGCTTATGTCATGATTTTTTAAAGGGTTTAGACTATCAGTATATACATTCATAGCACCTCCATCGAAAGCACTTACCAAATCTCCAACTTTTCTAAATCTTTTATGTTCTTCCGTGTTAGGGTTAAAACCTAAACTGAATGTAGGGCTGTTATATGTTCTCGTTCTTAAACTTCTATCTGGAAAATCTTTTGCAAGCGTTAAAACAACTGGACCTGCCTGACTATGTCCGACCAACTCCGTTATTTGCGGGTTATCCTGCAATACTCGCTTCGCTTCAATGTATCGTTCCATATCACGGACGCCACCTAATACACCAAAAGGGAGCTTTGTTAAGTTTTCTAACCAATTAACAGCGCTGGTTGTTCCTCCAACATACATTTTATTTCCTTTAACAAAAATTTTATTATCACGATCGTAAGCATATTTAATACCCTGTGAATTTGAAATTTTGCCGTTACTTTCTAGCATCGTATTTAGTTGCGATTGTATTTTTGACATTATATAAAAAAGATTATAAATTATTTATATCAATTATATTATATAACAATATTATGAGTATCAGACCATTGACGTATAAAAAAGTTTATGTAAATTCAAAATACCGCACTTCAAACAGTCGTGGAATAAGCGACTTTGAAATTGAATTAAGGGAAACCTTTGAAATACCCGATGGCACTATTATGCAAGTTCACGAGTTAGCCATTCCGAATACGTGGTATTCAATAAACACAAATAATCAAAATCTATATTTTAGACATCAGATCATCGCACCAGCTACACCGCAAGGCATAACGTATAGGCGTATTGAAATACCGGTTGGAAATTACTCACCGCCGGAATTAGCAAATGCAATTCAGACACAACTGAATTTTTTCTTTGATAGTGGCGGTCGGTCAAATTCCTATACCGTCACATACAACACGATATCAAATAAGATGACGGTATCCTCAAATTATACAGAGGTGCTTTTTGTTCCCTTAACTGATGCCGACGTTCCATCTTTCGTAGGTTCGTTTTCCAACAGTGTAGATCTGAATAATTTGAACTCTATAAATGAAGTGTTAAGTTTTAACGTTACGGTAGGCGATAGTTTCACTTCATCCGCTCCATGGACAACCGGCTTTATTAAGCTTCTCCATCACCAAGACCTATACATATCGTGTCCGGAACTGTCAAATAATAATTTTCATAGTCCTTCGTCTTTTTCAAACGCGATCGTAAAAAAAGTTCCTGTCAATGCTTCCTTCGCAGGTATTATAAATGATCCCTATGGCGTTACAGATTACGATTATGTTAATGTCTCGCGTCGTTCAATAAGACGACTAACGTTTAGAATAACTGATGAAACTGGCAACCTTATCGACTTCAACGGCGTCGATTTGAGTTTTAGCCTCCTCTTTCATAATAGCGATGCTACATGAAACGTAATAGAAAATATATAGAACATTATATATATGACCGATCAAAGCTCGGAAATTGTAGCAGTCAATGATGAACCTGAAAACGAAGCAACCGAAGCGCAACCTGAAACCGAAACACCAATGCCTGAACCGGAAAAGGAAGAAGCTAAAAGAGTTAAAATTCGTGACGTTGTAAAAGAACCTGCTGAATGTAGGGACTGTAAAAAAACGATGACTATAAAAACGTTGAGATATACTCATCCTGAAAAATGCGAAAAGAAACCAAGTAATATTATTGATAAACCAGTAAAAACACAAGCACCTAGAACCAAAGCAAAAATAAACGTTGAACCTCTCGCACCGGAACATAATGAAAATAATTCAGTGGCACCGCCACAATATCAAGAACAACAACCGCCTGTTACAAAAGCAATTCCGCCAGTGCAACCGCAACAATTTTCAAATCCTGATGCAAATTTAACGCAACAACAATTATTGCAACTACAAATGAAATCAATGAACGCCGAAATTTTGAGAAGAAGACAGGAAAAATCTGATAATATGTGCAAAGCCATGTTTCAATCAAGAAGTAAAAAATCTAAATAATAATATATACGAATGGTTCTATATAATAGGTTCAAATTTCAGAAAAATAAAAAAATGCATAAGAAAAAATCATTAGATAATCCTGTCGTGAATTCGCCGGAAGATCTCGTATACCGACAGCAAAATATTGATTATCTACTGAATTTGAAAAAGCAACTGGAAGCGAGAGAGGCAAAAGAAAAAAACATAGCGTTTAAGCGTAGATTGTTAGAGGGTCAGATGAAAGCAAATTATGAAAGTGAGATGTCAAGATTGAAAGGGGAAATGCATAATCCAAGAATACCCGAGACTTCTCTGGAACATCTCAGAAAAAGATATGACACATTAAGCGAGTTAAGCGAGACTATTTTCTAAAACAATATATAAAAAAGAATGGTAGTTAAAAACGCTGGTATACAATTTCACAGAAGATCTAGATATGAAGATATTTTGGAGCTGGTTAATGACGATGAAGAAGCGTTAAAACCCTTTCCTAATAGAGATGCTGTATTTTATAAACAAAGCAACAAAGGAACTCGTTTTGATGGAAAAGATCATTTGGATAAATTAAGAGTTCAAGAAAAACAAATCGCCGAAAGAATTGTTAGGGATCATATGCTACGCGAATACGCTAGCGATAATAATTTAACACATAGAGCATTATTTACAAGACATGATCGCCCAGAACCAGAACAACCCAGATCGCCAGAAATGTTTCGTATTGCAACGGACACCGACAATATGTCTTTTATTGAAGAATTCGGCACACCCCCCGAGCAACAATTGTTTCAAATCGATGAAACATTAGGAAACGTAGCAACCGCACATCAAGGCAACCAACAAGCAATCAATCAAGCGCACCAACAACAGTTAGAAAGAGAGGAAGAAGGCGGTTCGGGCATTCTTCGGAGTTTAGGAAGCGGGGCATTAAGTTTAGGAAGCGGGGCATTAAGTTTAGGAAGCGGGGCATTACGAGTAGGGGGCAATGTTGCGGGCAATATGATTTCCGGTATGGATTTTACTTCTGCCGCGTTTGCTGGACTTACACAGGAAGCCGCGCAAGCATTAGGCGAGACATTAATGAGGAGAATAAACCCGCCCCCCAGACAGCTATTAGACTTTTCAGGAGATCCTCGCGCGGGTCAATTTACAACTTATGACCCAATGCCAATTCCAAACATGGAATATTTACAACCCTCAATAGTTTTACAACCACATCAACCTAACGTCGGTGCTACACAACAACCTTTACCGATTGCATCATCAAGCCAACCTACGCTAGCAGAATTACCACCAATACCACGTCCAATACCACAGCGACCAACAGAGCCGAGAACAAAAGCAAGACCCAGACCATCACCGAAAACACCGCCACCACCACAGCCAAATTTTCAAGAAGGCGGTTCGTCAAGTTCAAGCGGAAACGCGCCACCGCCACAACCACCGCAACCACCACAAAATGAACGCCCACGAACCCGTTTAACCAGAAAAACAAATTTGAAGGAAGGAACAACAGAAGAGCAGGATATGACATCACCTACATTAATCATTCCAAGCAAAATAGGTATTCAAAAATTGAGAGAAGTATTCGAAGAAGCGAACAACAGAAATACTATAAATACTAAAACTTACAGAAGCTATAAAAGTATGTATAACAATTGGATCAGGTCTGCGGGAGATAAAGAAATGAAAAAACAATATCTGAAAGAACTCAAAGATTTGTATAGAAAAGAAATATTTAGAAAATAAAAAGCTTCAAAATATTTCAATAAATTATTATTCTTTATTGAAATATTTTCATTATTCCAATCACCCAAATCTACATTTTTATCGCGCAGGGCTGACGCTCGACCCCATCTGTGCCGTCTGCCCATCGCTGTATGTCCTTCGTCGGTGTTTCGAAAAAAACAAGCAAAAATATTACAACTACTAACCAAAAGAAAAGGAAAAGGTTGCCTTTGATGACACTGTCCTCCCCGTCCATTGCTCACAATGGTCTGCATCGTTAGCCATGTCCTCGCCAAGGAAATTACAATGTAAAAAACAAAACAAAATTGTATTTTCCATCCCACCTTCAAATGGACTTCAAAAGAAACGGACGCCATACCAGAACGAACCAGCGACCACGGCGCCCCAGCGGATCATGATCGCCTTTCAGGGTAAAGAAAAAGAACAAAACAATTACTATATTAATTTCTTACTATATTCAAAAAAGTATTTTTAAAACACCCCCGCCTCATCCTGATTTTTTAGGGCGTCCTCGCCCTTTTTTAGGCGTAGCTATGGAAACGGTATTCAGATAAGGCATTTGTGTGCATAAGGAACCACCATTCACGTATGGCACGATACCATTCGCATCGGGCATGACGGTGTCATCTTCACGTCCTTCGCCTTCTTCTTCTCCGTCATCATCATCGTCGTCGTCGTCGTCGTCGTCGTCATCGTCGTCGTTAGGGGGCACGTGACCAGTAAAACTATTATACCCACGCTTCTTTCTAGTTTTAGGCTCTTTTGTCATAGTCTCATATAACTTTTCCCAACTAATAGAACCATCATCTACTCCAAAAAGATTAACAATGACTGCTTCCATAGAACGACGAACCAAACGATCGCAACAGTCTTTTAATAGAAGAACTTCACCTAAATTACTATCAATGAAAGGCATTGTAAGATCCACGAGTTGTTTAATTCGGAGTTCGCCCTTGTTATGTCCAGCTAGGGTAGGAATAGCTTTCGTTAAGTCTTTATTGGATACATTTTTAAACAACTCGCGGATGCATTCTTTCGGGTTGTCCTTGGACTTATCAACCAAGTCTTTAACCTTATTTACAACCTCATCAAACACGGAACATTCAACCGAAGAACTCTCTATACGATATTTTTTACTCCTTATCTCCTCATGAATAAACCGAACCCGCTGGACCTTCGAAGAATACCCCGCTGTAAGTTTAAAACCCTCGTCATCAACCGACTTACGTTTTTTAGGCGGACCACCAACCATTAGGGGGACTTTATTATTATGGTTATCATAAACCCACGTAGCTTCTCCACCGCCATTACCCTCCTCCTCCATATCAGTCTCGCCCTCGCTGTCGTTGCGAAGCAGGACGTCCAATAAATCACCAGATGCATCCATAGTATCAGATTGAACCTCAGATTTTAAATTTTTCAACAAAGAAAAATACTTACAATTTTAAGACAGGATACCTTCCACGTCTGAACGTCGCGTTGGATGCCATATTTTTCCTCGATCTTGGTCTTCACGTTGTCGATGGTGTCTGATGCTTCCACATCCATAGCGATGGTCTCGCCCGTCATGGTCTTCACGAAGATCTGCATAGCCTCAATACCAAAAAAAAAGAACATATAAAAAAAACGTTTCCACGTATAAAATCATAACTACTAAAAAAACTTGATATAATGCAATACGAGTAGCGACGGGTCTTTGGCGAATTGAAAAGAGTTGAAACACTCTAAAAAGTTTGGAGCAAAAAACGCTACATTGAAAAACAGATGCCTCAACTAAACGCTCCCAACATGCAATGCTCACAGAATACGCATTGTAAAGTGCATTATTTTTAGCTTTCACAGGTGGCTCGACTGGTGTGTAGCTACACTGCTATGTCTGCTATAATGCGGATCATTCGCAACACTTTGGTCGCTTATCAAAACTGACGAGGAACAAAAGCATTTCATGCACTCGTCTGCTTCAAGTGAAAATTCGTTTAGATTAGCAAAACACAGCGTAGCCAAAATTGACGCACTAGCGAAGGTGCCTATACAAAAGCGCTCATCAGATGGTAAAGAACTGATCGTCGTAGTCGTCGTCGTAGTCGTCATCATCTGGCGTTGAAGTCCCGCACGATGTAGAATCATATCCGCGATAAACTTCTCCGATGTTCCCTTCATCATCGTCGTCATCGTCGTCTTCGTCAACGTTCCGCTCATCTGCCACATAAACGTCAAGGTAGATATGAACATCATAGTTTATCGGGATCAACGCGAATTGTCTGACAAAGGTTCGCCTGCCATCGAAATCCACATCGTGCCGGACACGGGTTCCATTGATGACGATTTCCTCGATCTCATCAACTGTAAAGGGCGCCAAGATTTGGTTGATCGACATCACTGACGCGGCCGCCCACGGAATGAACTGATAAGCCATGGTCGCTCCACCATCTGGAACGCTGTGATACTCAACATTGATCCGGATGTTTTCAGTCATGGCGACCAATCTACGAATTGAAACACTCTGAAAAGTTTGAAGCATAAATGCTACAACTGAACAAAAAAATGCATCCACCAACTCACAGCCACTCATGACAGACTGCACATGGTGCCCTGCGCCTAACATGTCTCACAACAAAAAGTTTTAAAAGTTTTAAAAACTAAAATATATAGTATTATATATATAAATGAAAAAATCGGTTCAAGATGAATTGTTTGAAATTCTTTACAAACAAGCAAAGCACGAATTAGAAAAGCTAGAAATCATCAAAGAAAGTAGGATAAGCAAAATCGAAGAAATAAAACAAAAATGTGTTATAGAAAAAGAAGAACAGGAACATTTAGATAAGGAAATGAAATATTTAGATAGACAAATTGAGCTACAAAGGGAATTGATAGATTTATATGAAAATAAAAATTCTTAAAATCTTTACAATAATTTTTGATAAATATTTATGCTGAAATTTTACAAAGATATTTTTTAAAAATGCAATTTTTCAACAAATATTTTTCGGAAGATTTTTAAGATGAAAATTTTGAAAATAATATTTTTATGAAAATTTTGGAAAATTTTATGATGAAATTTTTAATATTTTTAATCATAAAACTATTGATTTTTTATTGAGATTTTTTGTGAGGAATGGTTGAGGGTAGGATGTCAAAAATGAGGAAAAATTTATTGAAATGTTGAAAACGTATACCCCCCCCTAGGGAAAAAACGAATGAGCGTTGAGCGGGGTGAAACATGAGTTGAGGCAAGGCTATGGCTAACTATGGGCACAGTACAACAAACTGTACAAAAAGCACAAAGAGCACTGCCGAACCGCAAAAAAAGACTACCTGCTCCAACAGATGAACACTGCGGAACAGGCTGCGCAAAACCATAACCAGCGCCTCTTGTATCAGGTTGTACGCGCTCTCGCGCCAAAAGCCAAGCGCCACAGACCCCAGCTGCGTGACTCCACAGGACAAATGATGACACGAAGTGAGGAAGCGGCGTGCTTTCACCGTCACTTCACTGCCAAATTCACAGCTGCTGCTGAAGCGCTCACGCAGCTAGAGACAACCACTCAGTTGCTGCATGAACGTCAGGGAGAGCCCTGCGAAGGCCCCACGCTGCAGCCGACGGTGCTCGCCAGGCACTTGCAACACGCTCCGCTCAGAAAAGCCGTCCCCCCAGGCCACCCACCCAGTGCCATCTGGCGCCTCTGCTCAGACATCATCGCGACAAGGGTCTGCCATGTGCTAAATACCCACTGGACCCCACAGCCTAACCGCGTGCCCCGGCCTTGGTCCGACGCGCACCTGGTCCTTATCCGTAAGCCAGCCAAAACCGGTAAGGAAGAGGGACACTATCGTCCGATAGGTCTTCAAGACCAGCTAGGCAAACTCACCTTTAAAGCACTAGTCGAACCCTATCAGGCAGACATACACAGCATCGCCGCACAATTCCCCCAATACGGCTACATGCCGGGCAGGTCCCACCGCGATGCCTTACGCAGGGTATTCGACCACTGCGCGCACATAAGGGCCAAGTGCCGCGCCCACCACTGCACACTACATGACCGATTTGAAGGCAAGGCAGCCACGGCCTTGATCGGCGGCCTGCAGGTCACACTCGACCTCGCGGGAGCATTTGATGCCATGCCCCGACATCGACTCCTGGAAGGAATGGAGCACATGAACTTGCCGCTCTCCTTCATACAGATTGTCATGTGTTGGCACCACCAAGCCCACTACCATATCAACCACGATGGCACGGATCGGGTTGTCCACGCTACACAGGGCGTGCGACAGGGTTGTGCGGTTGCACCCCTTCTCTGGCTCATCTTCTCACACCTTATCAGTGCAAAACTTGCGGCCAAGATTGGCTACCACGCCACAGTCAATCTCCTCAGCATCTTCGCTGACGACTACCATTGCTCGGGTGAGTTCAGCTCGACGCACGATCTGGAGGTCATTCTGTCGCACATGGCCGTGCTCCTCCATACACTGGCGGATATGGGAATGACGGTTAGCCCCGCAAAAAGCAAGGCTATACTCAAATGCGCAGGTCCGGGGGCTGAACAGCTCAGGAGACGGTTCACACGCAAAACGGCCCAGGGGAAAGTCCTTCGTATCTACAGTGCACAAGAATGTATCGACATCCCGCTTGTTGATTCATTCACGTACTTGGGAGCGATTGTCAGCTATGATCACTATGAGGATCGAACACTTGCGCACCGCTTAGAGGTTGGGTCTAACAATTTTGGCAGACTCACGCGTGTACTCCGAGGTAGACATGCCCTAACGCGACAACACAAGCTCCGTATCTGGCAGGCGTGTGTCTATACCGCCACTGTCTACGGGCTTGATGCCTGTGGACTCGCGCCCCTTGGCGCCAAGAAGCTCACAGCGCAGATCCTGCGACAAATTCGACTCATAGTCAGGGATCCCGTGTACATGACGGGTACATCACACCAGCAGGTTTTGACCAAATGGAACCTCCTTTCTCCGATTGAGGCGCTAAGGCACCAACTTCATAAGGAGACAGTTGATCCGGAGACTCAACCGGATATCTTCAAAAGGGGGCCCGATAGCGCAGCTTGGCAAAGAGTCATGGATACCCTACAAGACTTTTCACCCTCTCAGCTTGTCGAAATGAACAATCAGCGTGTCCATGGCCACCCGTGTCCAGAGTGTGGAATATATTTCGCCACCCGTGCCTCCATGCTCGGCCACATGACCCGTAAACATAAAGACCACCCAGCACGCCCCGTCAATCAGCCTACGCGCACCTTCGACAAACACAGTGACGCGCTGGGAGGGCTACCTCAATGCAGCCACTGCAAAGTCAAACTCTGTGACTTCTCCAGTCTGCGCAAGCACATTAACGAGCAGCGCTGTAAGGTGCTTTACCCCACGAGACGTCCACCCTGCTCGGACACACCCGAAGTGACACCCGAAGTGATACCCCCTCACACTATTGAAGCGTCAGCTGTCAAAGTAATAGGCCCTAAACTAGCCCCCACGCCTGAAGCCACTCACGTCGAGCCCGACCCCTCCCATCCAGCAAGCTGCTCAGGTGCCAGACCAACGGACGACTCGGAAATACAGTTGCCGTACTTTCAGAGGACCAGCGTGCGAGCCTTGCTCACAAAGTATTCTGAAAATGCAGCTTTTCACCTGCAGGATAGACAGTGGCTCCGACACTACTGTGCCCTGTGCTCCCAGTGGATTGTGTGCTCAAGTAAGGTAAAGCAGCACTATAGGCTCTCACACCCCACTGACCATGCACAGTACCTGCAATCGGCGAGCCGTTTGTGCTCCAAGTTCAATACCCCGGGCTCACCGTGTGAGCACTGCAGTGCGGTCACCAAGGCCCCCAGACAGCACCCTGCCAAATGTACTGTCTTGTGGCAAGTCTGCCTTATGCATCTCAAACTGCGTAACGACAGGACTGGCGATGGAGGAGCTTCAGCAAGTCTTCGGCCCGCTGATGAAGGACCAGCTGGATCTCATGGAGTGGGCACCGACGATGAAGAGGGAAGCCGAACCGGAATCGGCCCCTGCAGAGCGAGGCAAGGTTCCCAAGACAGAGCAGGGCAAAGGGCGCCCGCGTCAGCCGGCCCCTCCAAGCAAACAACACTGGCGCAAAGGTGGGGGCAAGGGACGTGGTCACGAAACCCCCAACCTGACCTACTTGATCAAAGCACTGGCCAGACTAGCACTGCAACAGGAGACGGCGCTCAAGATCCTACGCCAGGACTACAGCTGGGTGCTCTTCATTCAACCGGGCAGTCAGGGGCCGCTCCCCCTCCTCTTTGCAGCGGCACAAAAATGGAAGAAGTCTCAGGAGGAGGGAACAACGACCAGTACACTCTGATCACGATGCTGCACGCAAGCCTGAAAGACATCGGAGGAGTGACGCAGACACCCTTCCAGAAGAAGGCAGAGGACAACAAATGGCTACAGGAAGGCCATTGGTGCTACCAGAAGTGGTCGCCGGCGTTGGGGAGCCTGGTGGTCGACGAGGGGAGGCCCCCGCTTCCACACGCGAAGCTAGTGGAAGCACTACAACTCCTTCTACCCATCATCATGCAGCCCTACATGATACACAGATTCCACGCCACACGCCCCCTAGCAGACACCATGACAGGGGTCACGGCTTTCCAGCTGGACATCTCCAATCGCACGAAGGGCCACCCAACAGTATGGGAGACACTGGAGGCATTGACCGGCCTGTCGGCCATGCAGGTCATCGGCCTCCAACTAAGGAGGGACACGCTCAAGCAGTCACCGGCTGCCGCGCTTGTCCAACAGGCGCTGGCCGAATACTACTAATACGGCTCCTTAACAGCAGCAATACATGCTATCTTAATGCAAGCGTACGTGCCTGGCTGTTTGCGGTCAGCCACCTCCAGGTTGCGGACATCCTCAAGTATGGTGCCCAGGAACAGGCGTGGAGGGATGTGTATCATGCGCGTAAGCCCATTCACGTTCACGCACTGAGCTCCTGGCGGCCCTTGCTGTGCAATTGGGCTAACCTCCACCAGCAACATGACGCTTGTGAATTCCTAGAACACCTCCTAGGAGCTGGACGACCCCAAGTTCTTCAAGGCAAGTGGGAATCGCGCATTGTTAGTGAGGTTGAGGGCACCGAGACCAGAGGACAGCACAACACACAGCGGTCCATTACCCTTGACCTGGCGGACCCTTATGCCACCACTAACCTCCAAGCACTTGTTGACCATTGGCACACCGGCGGCACGTACGTACAGGCTTGCACGCATCCTCCACGCATCCTGCTTCTGCGCATCTCGCGATTCTTGGACACGGACGCTGGCGAGACGATCAAATTGCACACCAGGGTCACCATTCCCACTGCAGTCCAGATCCCATGCTACTGTGACCCACATCAGGGGGCTGCTTGTACGTATGTCACATACTTAGTCACGGCGTGCGTGCTGCATCGAGGGTCTACTGTACACGAGGGACATTATACTACCCGCTTTCTCAATCATCTCCCCCCAAGGGTCGCACCTCAAGCACCCCCGCAATGGCATGCAGATGACAGTAAGCCCATAGAGCATGTCAATATAGCTGTAACGCATGACTCAGTACTCAGCCAACAGTGCTACCTGGTCCTGCTCTGCAGGACTACGCTTTGATGACTTGAGCGCAGTGGGGTAGCCGCCTGTGGGGGACACATAGGCAGCCTGTGCTTACAAAAAACCCAAAAAATCAGAAAAAAGGATTGCACCGCTGTCACGTGCCTGCGGCTACCCGACAAACACCCACGCTCACGTGTGCATGCACCCTGTTGCAGGTACCTGAGCAACACGCTGTGCAGTGAGCCTGTTGGGCCACTATACTGAACATGCGTTAATTCATTGCCAATTCACGAGGAGATGAGCCGTCGCCCTGAGGCACAAAAGCGACAGAGACTGTTAATAAATGCCAGATCACACCTTCCCCACCTAAGTGCCCCATAAATCTCCACATACCCAGCGCGTACTCTACCTGTGCAATAGGGCTCGAGCTAGGCATCACATCCAGCAAATGTTGCCTGCACACACCTCGGGCTATGCAATGGGTGAGGCCAGCGGCTTCACACCAACACAACATGAACGCGAGGTAAGGATCCCGTATTCGCTGGAGATTGATGAAAAAATCCCAGATGACATGCCATACCCACGGCACATAGCTGAGCAAATTGCGGCCGATATGATTGCCTGTGGACAGGTGCGCATGAGTGCATGGAAGCTACTCTGTGACAGTCTGCCTAGGGGCGACCTGCGCAGTGAGGCGCATGCCGACCTACCTGGCAGTATGTGCTTTATGAGTGGAGCCTACTCACAGGGCCCGCTACATGGGCTTCGGCGCAACACTTCGAAGTTCCCATGGGTTACGCTAATGGTGTGTAGGTACATCCGCTCCTGCACCCGGGTGCCCTTCACTAGCTTTGTGCTTCAGCGAAACACGTTCATGCATGCACATAGGGATATGAACAACGCCGCACAAAGTGTCAATGCAGTGCTACCCTGCTCGGCCTTCATAGGAGGAGGAGTATGGGTCTACGATCCAGACGGCAGCCATGCGTGTATGGATGGTACCATGCAGGGCAACGTGCTAAATCTCACACTGCCAGGAGTCACCTTTGACCCTCAACAATGGCATGAGACTCGCCCCTGGACAGGAGATCGCATCACGATTGCAATCTTCACAGTCAGGGCAGTGGATGAGCTGAACCCTGCACACGTGGATACGCTTCGGAGACTGGTGTTTGCATTACCCACTACACCTGCATCACCTGCACCACCTACACCACCTACAACAGACCCTGACCTTGACAGTGAGTGAGAGGCTAGTGAGCCATAGTTGGCCACTCTGGACCGACAGTGAGCCCGGCTGGGCCACTTGTACATAAACCACAAGCCGTCCTGTGTAACGCACTTCCATGTCCTGTACATACCACGTGACGAGGATCACACCACTGGCCGCGACACTGTGCCGATATTGTTTGTTCACTGCCGCCGGCATTACATGCTGAAGCAGTTTTTGTTTGTGCCACTGTGCACTCTGTGCCACTGTGCACCCTTCTCTTGACAGGTTGAGTAGGACGCAAGTTTGCAGCTATTCGTAGCGGGACTTGCCCATTATGGTTCTAGTGCTCAAGAAGCACCGGTGCAATGCACTGCCATGTACCTGACGCCAAGCTGAGTGACCGGCTGCGATTGGAATGAATGAAATAGTAGTAGTAGTAGTAGTAGTAGTAGTAGTAGTAGTAGTAGTAGTAGTAGTAGTAGTAGTAGTAGTAGTAGTAGTAGTAGTAGTAGTAGTAGTAGTAGTAGTGGTGTAGTAGTAGTAGTAGTAGTAGTAGTAGTAGTAGTAGTAGTAGTAGTAGTAGTAGTAGTAGTAGTAGTAGTAGTAGTAGTAGTAGTAGTAGTAGTAGTAGTAGTAGTAGTAGTAGTAGTAGTAGTAGTATATAGTAGTAGTAGTAGTCGCTCCCACAATGCTGGGTGTCAGAATGATAGTGGCAACTGGTTGAGCCATTGGGATCAGGAAATTCCGCTTCCGGATGAGTGGTCCCCGGAGTTTCGTGTGAGCTGTCGTTTGGCGCAGCTGTGGCATGGGGAGTCTCCGTTTGTCTCCTGCAGACGCCCATCTGCTATGGGTGCATTACCCGAGTTCCTCCTCTCGCGGTGCGCGGTCGTGGCCTTCCTCCGTGAGCTCTTGGGGTTTTGTTTTACTCTCGAGCTTTCGCCTGAGCTTGGCATGGTCGAGGATTAAGCATAGACCATGTCATGTGTGTACTGACGACAGTACAGAAGCATCTTGTCCGCCTCACGTTCGCTTTTGGTGGGATTTGGCGAGTCGGACATTCCACTTTTTGGCAGATGTGTTTTTGATGATGATCAGACACTCTCAGACTTTGGTATGTTTCTTTTGGATTCGCTAGCCTCGTGTGTCTGACCGCCAAAGAAGTGGAATGTCCGTATCTCTGGTTTGGATGGACATTCAGATGGACGAAAAACTCTCATGAGAATATGTGTGGCTAGAATATTGAATCTAGAACGGTTCTTGTGCTTGTTCAAAAATGTTTTACATTCGTTTTCTATCACGCACTTGGTCGAGCTCAGCATCTGGAGCATCCGCGGCTCATGATGCTGATTGATTCGCTTGCTGATTGGATCGCCAATCTTGTCCTGTTTGTGCGGTGGGTGGGTGGTGGCTCTGCTTGAAAGATTGTTTTGGCCAGTTTTGCAATGGAAGTTTGTCCGGACCATCCCGGAATGTCCGGGAACATTTAGGGCCTTTCGAACCTTACCCTCTTGAATCGATGCGCGAGGCGTCATTTGCACCACGAAGCCCCGCGGTTAAAAGACCTTGTCAGCACTTTGCATTTGTTTTGGATCGGTGTACCATGGTTGGGTGCGCTGCAACGGAACAGTGCTGACTGAGGTTTGCCGCCGGCAGGGAACAGGCAAGTGCTCGCAACATGCGGGATGCAGAGATGTCTAACGTAGGAGTCCTCTCCTGCAAGGCATATTGCCGTGTGAGCATCATTTCTCTTTGGCAAAATTGTGCAATTATGTTTCCCGTTGAGCGAGTTTTAAAAGCGTGTTCTGATCGTGTACAGGCTTCAGCGACGAAACTTAGCTAACAGTCAGCCAGCCGTGTATACATTTGCCGACGCCAATGGATCATTTATGTGACGTGTTCGTGCAAACAATTAGTGAATGCTCGGGTTTTCTTGTCAGTGCTTGCTTGCCAAGGTTACGCATGACATCGCATGACGCATCGCATGACAGTTTGAACAGAGTCAATTAGCACTTGTGTTTGAATATAATTGATAGCTGCAAAGAACGCTTAGCCACGCGGCATGCTTGGAAGAGTTTAAACACGTTTCAAAGATGTTGCAACCATTGTGTGTTCTTGATGATTGAAGTTGTGGAATGGTCCCCGGCTCCACGACTTTCCCATCTTGCGATGCAGGCGTGTCTATGCTTGAGTCTGAGTGATAATGAAAGCCTGAAAGTAGAACATGATGTATGGTATGGTTGACGATGGACCAGTTCGCGTTGCGCATGTCATGCGTCATGGTGGCTCTCAAATGTTTCGTGTTCGTGGCTTTCGGCTTGTGTGAAGTTGCTTCAAACCCATGAAACGAGCCGGACCGAACATTGATGGGGCATGCCCCAACAAGCGACAAAGGGTGGGCAACCACAGCGGCTTGCGGGGCGTGATTTTCCACGCTGCAAATGCCCAAAGAAGTGCACGACGTGGTCTAGCATATGTTTGGTTGCATTTTGTTTATGAGCCCTTCGTATACCGACGGCGAGTACAAGCTGCACATGAGTTCTTGGCTGGACGAAGCCGCAGTGAATTGATCAGCGATGTGGAAGATGCCGTCCACGTGGCTGGAGCGAAGCCTTTTCGTGCCCTCTTACGTGAGGATTTCTGGCAGCAGGATTGCACCATTGAGACGCGCGACGCGCTGTTGCAGAGACGTTTACTTCTTCGAGCTGAGTTGGAGTTGCAATTGCAGAGGCAGTTGTGGAAAGAGGCGAATAACACAGGATTTTCCCTATTCTCGGGAGTTTGCAGCTTTCGGTTGCGAGTTGACCCGAAGCAGCGCCACTACTTCGGAAAGGTCCCATTGGAAGTTAAGCGTGGTGCAGTCTTCGACTCAGCTGTGGAGTCCATTTTGGCTGCAAGGCCATCGCATTTGCTTTCAGGCATCCATGTGAGGTTCCATGAAATCAGCGGTTTCGCAGAAGCTGGTGTTGACAGTGGCGGATTGACCCGAGAGTTTTTCGAGTTGGTTGTGAAAGACTTGTCAGATGTTTCGCGGGCAAGCACACCATCGACACCATCAAGGCGACTAAGGCGAAGCGTTTCTGTAGAAGGGATTGGCGAGCCCATGTTCTCTCAACAAGCAGACGGCTCGTTGATGCTGGCATCGTCTTCACGCCCTCCAGCCGTGTACTTTGCCCTGGGGCGGCTTGTTGGTGTTGCTTTAGTGCATGCAAGCTATGGGGACTCTGCTTTGCCACTTCCTTTGTCGGATTGTTTGTTGAAGTGTATGGTGGGTGCTCCCATAACTGCCGCGGATGTTCGAAAGCGAGATCCGATCTACTACAAGAACCGTATCGAAGCAGTCCTCTCAACTGAGGGACGTCGCATGGTAACCGCCGCATTGATGGAAGAGAAGCTGGTTTTCGCGGAGCGTGGGAGAGATTTGAAGCCAGGAGGTGGTACCGAGGAGGTGACCGACGGCAACGTTATGGAATATGTGACTTTGTTGAGTGAAGACTACGTATGTGGTGACGTGCGGACAGAGATTTCCGAGTTCCTTGCAGGATTTCACGACATTGTGCCGCGTAAGCTGCTCCAACAGGCGACGCTTCAAGCTAGCGTTCGTTCGATAGATATACCTTCTTGTTGGATGCAGGAGTCCAAATCCAAGCTGGAAAATAACCTAGATGTTCAACCAGTGTCAGCATGTATTGGCTCATGTTCCTCCCAAAAATCCTCGATGTCCTTTTTCCCCGGCGCCATGCAGGTGGGACTGTCCTGGGTTCACCTTGGCAATCTGCTCTCTGGAGTTGATTACATCGATGTGGAAACTTGGCGGCGCCATGCTCAAGTACGTGCTGCTGGCGTGAACAAAGAGGAAGCGCTGAGAGTTACGAACATCTTCTGGCACATTTTGGCACACTGGCCAGCAGTGGAGCAAAGTGCCGTGTTGGCCTTTGCAAGTGGATGCTCGCGCCTCCCAGCCTGTGGCTTTGAACGCCTGGATCCGCCATTCACTGTTGAAGTGGTGCCTCGATCGGGCAAGCTGCCAACTTCCCACACTTGCTTCAACACCATCACGCTGCCTGCGTACGAGGAGGTGCTTCTCGAGCAGAAGCTGGCCTTTGCGATCCATGAGTGCTCTTCAGGGTTTGCTTTCATATAGTCTCGGCCCGGTGGGTCTTTGGCGTACAAAAGTACACCAAATGTAGATGCGATGCGTGAACCGGCCCTGAGCCTTCTAATGTAAGACCATGTAAGCTGAACACACCAGTCGCCCTCTGAGAACATGCTGGACAGGCTTGAGACACGGTCTCGCTGACTATTTTGACTAGTGCGTCAACTGCAGATTCTCTGGAGAATCTTTCGCACTTTTGAGGCGCCTTTCCATGGAAACATGAAGGCTTTGAAGGCTTTTGTTCTTTTCTTGAGATGGACTCTTGCCCTGAAAGGGTCGGGTCGTTTCCGATTTTCATGACCGGGACTGCCAAAGCCCTGGGTCATGTTTCGCAGAGATTCGCGAAGTTCTGTTTTGTTCCGAGCCGTGTGGCAAACTGCAGTGCTCGGCTACATTTCGGCTTGTTGCAGGTGCAGCTCGCATATGCTCGCATTGCAAGGCAGCTTGTCCATGTGTGTTCATGCTTTGTCCGAGCTTACAGTTCACGAGGGCTGACGAACTGCACCCCGCAAGCCGACTCGAGCCTGAGTAGCCTGAGTTGCTAAAAATAGCATCTCGGCATCTCAGTGCTTCTCGTTGTGGCAGTCGGCCGCAGAGACAGCTTCTGCATGGGGCCCTGTTGACTGCACCACGTGGTTGTGTCGTCTCGCCTTGCCACAAATGATACTTTGTATGACTCTTGCGAGCCATGCGCAGACATTTGCAAGTACGTGCGTTTTCGTTAGAGTCTTTAGTGTTGTGGGCATGGGTTGCCTCGCAGGAATGCAGGAAAGTGCAGCTCGCGAGCACTATGGGTTACTCTCAGCGGAGAAGCTCCAGGCAGCTTGCTATTTGCCCTTCGAAGTTGCATGTTGGGACACTGCGGATTTGCAAGCGGCTTTGCAAGCGAGGCCTTCAGGCAGTGGATGTGCTGTTTCTGTGTCTGCGTCTTCGACCTGGAGCAAGGAGCCTCCTGAGAGCTCGAAGTGAAGTGTTCTTGTCATTAGTTTGCACATACATGCACCATGAAGTTGCAGCGTCCATTGTGCAGGACAGCAGCTGGAACTGGTGTGTTCCTCAGAAGAGGCGGTTGAGTTACTGAGTGACTAACTAAGTGATGTGCTTCCGCAAATCAGCTCTCCGGACCCAGGAAATGCCAGGCGAAAGCCCTCTGTCTGAGGAGGATCGTCAACTATTGCGGTGAGCTCCTCATGCTGTTGTGCAGATCGCCCCTGCGTGGGTTTTCACTCACCTTCGAATATGCTCTGTCCGACTTGGATCTTCCTTTCATCAACAATCGTTGGAATTTCAGGTACCTTGCGTTCCCGGATTCAGGACCCAGCCGCCTGACATCTGTGCGGATCACGGCATGCTGTGCAAGCGAGGGCAAAACTTGTATATAGAACTTGGAGAAGGGGTCGGAAGATGTTGGAAGTTGATTGTGGTGGCCAAGGTCGAAACAGCGGTGTTTCCCTTTCGTTTCCGCCGGGGAAGTGGCGTCTGGCCCCAAGGAAGCGACTTTTGCAAAGAGAGTGCCGAACAAGGGCTGAAATTGCAGAGGAGTGACCGTGCACATCACGACCCCATGAGGTAGTGAGTATCTTCTCGTTCGTTTTCCCGGCAAAGGGTGGAGAGAGATAGGGACCTCGAACAACCGTCTTCGGGCAGTCGATACACTACGAAAGTGAAAGGTTCGGTGCTCCCACCAGCAACAAAACCGCAAATGCAGAAGTAGCTGCTGATCAATTCGCCATGTCAGCTCATTCAACCCGCGACTGGTAGCCTTCGAGGTCTTCCTGCAGTGATCTTTCAGTGTCGCATATGGATTCATTAGAAATAGGAAGCCCCGTCCACATCGAAATCGCATTAAGGCATCTCGAGGTCGCAGTGGCCAAGCAAGCAGGCCGGGCGTGTGACCTGCAGCTTCAACAATAACAGAGCGTTGACGCAGAGAAGACGAATGCGCAAAACAACTCTGAAATTTCAGGGAAAAGGGACACCAGAGCTGATGATCATTGTGTTCCTGCTGTGAGGAAATGGGCAGCGTTTTGACATTTGCACGTTCACTCGTTCTCGTTCGCTCTTGCAGGGAGTTGATGCTGAAGCAGGAGGATTTCTGGTATGCTGCAGAGAGCTCAGACGGGCTCAAAGCAGCCGAAAGGGAGGTAGAAGTTCCAGGGCGACTGAGCAAGAAGAGCACTAGCAAGCATGTGATGAGTTTGGGGTTAAAAGAATTGTTGCTGCGTCCGAGGCAGCTTACTTCCAGCAGCAGCCAGATGAGGACCTGCTGAGAATTTCATAAACAGCTCTTGATTGGAGAACAGCTGCCTGACATGAAGACTCTTTTGTGTATGAGCGTGCTGCCTGCTGTAATCGCTAGGCGACCTGGCACATCTAGGAAAAACGGTTTAATTCATCAAGAGCTTGCGCGGTATTTGTTTGTGCGCTGCTTCTTAAAGTTCCGAAGCCCTGGACGCAGAATGGTCATGACAACCAAGTAGATGGCCCGGTTTTGGAGGCAAGCAAACGGCATTGTGTGCAGCGCAGCCTTGTGGTGGATGCCCTGGCAAAAACCTGAGATCACACCAGTGACACCATGCTTCACTCGGCGACAGTAAGGTTGTCTCCCAGCATGGCTTTCTGGCTTTCTGGGTCTGCCTCCAAGTTACTTTAACATGAAAAGCTTGTCAAGAGGAATGCTGCACGATGCAGGAGAGACCGAGAGACTTCAAAGGACTAACTAACTGAGAAGCAGAGGTGGAGAGGCGCTCCTGTGCTGTGGGGATTGAAGCGAGGCTGCGTTGGTGACGGAGGTCGGCAAGCACTTCCAGGAGTGCCTTGGCTGAGAGCAAAGAGCCAAGGGAGAGAGCAAAGGGGGTGGAGGGGAGAGCTGTTCTGATAATCTTTTTAGCGTTGCGTGTCAAGGGCTGGGAAGGGTCTTCATGATTGTGCGACATTGTTGTGCAAGTCTTGTATGTCTTGTGCATCATGCATGAGCCATCACAGTCACTGCCTGTGCCAGACATAGGGTGCGAGATTTGGCCCACCCATCCCATTTTTCCGAGACTTTTGTCTACAAGGGGAGGGGGCGGGGGATGGGGGTATGTGCATCGTGCACTTGCATCATTCGGTCGTTGACCCGGGCGAGTAAAGGTTGTGGATGAGTCTTCTGAGTATTCTGAGGCGGGGACCTGATGTCCTCGAAGAAGTTCCGACCTGAGCTCGTTGCGGGACAGAAGGGCCTTAAGGTTAAGGAAGCGAAGGGCATCCATGTGCGCTCTAGGAAAGGGCATCTTCTGGGCAGCAGTAGGCTGAAGAGGGTGTTGGGGTCCATCGAACAAGCTGGTTAACGGCAGGAGACCTCAGTTCAGCGAGCTTTTATGCTTTGATTCACGTGTGGCTCTGTGGCAGCGAAGGCGAGATATAGAACTTCGCTAGCTGCCCCCAAAGCAAGACCGGGAGCATGCTCGGTGCGTGCTCGGTGCATTGCATGACGATGCCCCCTTGGCTCAAGTCATCTGGATACGTCGTGTGGCTTTGTGGTGGAGGTCGAGGTCTCCATCCGCCAGTAGGCGGGTGGCGCTGCACGAATGCCGCACGAGCAACGCATGCAGACTTTGGCAAGATGTTTGCGTTGCAGGTAGGTCCGGAGCGTCATGGCCAAGAATGCCATGACGCCGGAAGAGCAGCTGGAGGACCTGCAGAGGCGCTTCCAGCTGCTGGAGGGCGAATCTTGACCTTCGCACGAGCACAGGAAGCACAGGAGACTGACAAGCAGCTCCTACAAGCTGCAAGCTTGCTTTCCTGCGTTCTCAGGAACGCAAAGCAACATACGAGACCGCCAAGCTGAACATCCAGCAGAACAAGGACAGGTCTCTTCCGGACTTGCAAGATCTTGCATCATCTTGCAGCCACTGAGTCACTGGCCTAAATTTGGAGGCGTCAGTGTTGCGTGCGGTTCCTCATGTCGGCTGCAGGAGATCATTGGCCAGATGAAAGATGAGAACAAAACGTTTCTCTGGCCGCACATGAAGCTGCACAGTTTTTGCCGTGTTGAGCTTCTGTTAAGCAAGCTTGCTTCAAGTTTGACAAGACATTAGCAGTATGAGCTGTGGCAGGCTTAGAAATCAGATCGCAACTCTCCGCGATGAGAAGCCGCAGTCTTTAGAGAAAATTCTGGAGCAGACAATGCACGAAGTGCAACAGATGCAGAGGACGCTCGACGCAGGTTGCTGGGAGCTTCTGCGCCCCTGACACATCACTGATCAGACTCGCAACATCAGACTCCCAACACATAGCTCGGATAGCTGATAAAGTGAAGCCGCAAAGGAGATTTGACCTCATCAAGAATGAGAACAACAAGAGGTGCAATGCTTGAAGGATGCATCGAGGGAGGGGTTTCTTCGTGTCCTTGCCGTGCTAGTGCTGTAGTGCCGTGCTAGTTGAACAGTTGGTGTCTTTGACTTGTTGAGGCGAGGCCACATAGACCAGCTGAGCATCAAGCAGGGTGAGCTCTCCATGGGCTCCAAGATGCATTCGAGCGAGGCCTCCCCGGAGATGCGCCACATCCGCGTCTTGGAGAACCGGTTAGACAAAGTGATGATCAAGTACAACGAGGCTCAGAGCATCCGGAAGACCTACGAGGCCATTGTGAAGCGACTGAAGGACGAGCGCATCGGCTTCGACAACCAGCTCGCGGCCATTGAGAGGACCCTCAAGGCCAAGGAGCGGGACTACGAGGAGCTGCTGCTACTCTCCCACGATGCCTACCACGCCAAGGACCTTGAGAAGGGACATGAAAAGGGACATGAGAAGGGACATGAAGGGACATGAAGGGAGATGAAGGGAGATGAAGGGAGATGAAGGGACATGACCGGGTGGATTTGGGTGGTTTTAGGTGGTCTTGGGTGGTCTTGGGTGCTTTTTTTGGGTGGTTTGTTTGGGTGGTGTTGGACCGTCTGCAGGAGATGGCGCAAGCCGAGTTACATCGCTTCGAGCAGGGTGTAATGGAAGAGAGGAATCAGCGGGACAAGGAGGTCCAAGAAAAGAAGATCTTGGTGGAGCAGCGTGTCGAGCCTCTTGGATTTGATGGGAGCTGGTGCAAGGGACCTTGAGCGTGCATAAGCAGCTGGAGCTTATTTTCAACCAGGATGAACAAAAGATTGGAGCTCCGCGAGAAGAGCCTGAAGCAACAGCCCGAGACAGACAAGGGCCATGATCGCTCCCTGAAGGAGGCGTCGGTCGCATCTGAGTTCACGGCAGGCTCGGTGTTCCCCGAGAAAGCTTTCAGGAAGCAGGCAAGAATATCAGGCATTGTGATCAAGAGCTTTCTCGACAGGATACTCCGGAGATGCTGCGCAAGAGGAGCTACAAAAGATCATGGACTACAAGGCCAGGGCTGTCTGTGATGGCGCTGGGCCGAACTTCGGAAGATTTCTCGCATCAGGAAGCCGTGCAGGCAATCAAGGATGCCACAGGCTGTGGAGGGATCACTGGATGTTTCATTTTCTCTCTCCGCGTTGGAACAACTTCTGACGCGTGGAGCAAGGTACCGGAAGTGAATCGGTGCTTGACAGGTGTCAGTGACGCCAACGAGATCATCCAGAAGTTCCTCACGCAGGAGGACACGCAGAAAAACTTGCAGCAGCTGACCAAGGAAAACCAGGAGACCATCGACAGGTCCATCTGTGGATTGCGATCGTCATGAGGGATGCATTTTCGCCTCTTCATGGGAGGCTAAGCGAAGACCGACGCAAACTACGCCTTCAGGCTTCTTCATTTGTCCCGCTTTGTGCCACTTTGCGCCGCGTTGCGCCGCTTTTGTGCTGCTTCGCAAGGTGGAAGACTTGAAGTTTTCCAGTGGAGGGCAAGGTGGACGTCGGCAGGCCTGCTGTGTAGTTATTGTACTGTTATTGTGCAGTTTCTTCGTGTTTCTTCGAATGAAGGCCACGGTTTGTGCCTTCAGGCCATCGATGATTTCGAATCCCACCTGGGGGAAGCCACCGAGAAGTTCGAGCGCAATCGCGGCAAGTACGAGAGAGTCGCAAGGACCAAAGTGATAAACACCCAGAGATTGTGGTCACTGTCTGTAACGTGGAACCATTACTGTGTGTCGTTTCGTTTGGGAGTTGATCATCTCATTCGAGAAGCGTACCCTACAGCCCTCGAAGCCTAAGCTTCAGCTCTAAGCAGCACTAAGGGCTGTGATGTAGGCAGCGGGCAGATGTAGGAAGCAATTGAAGCGGCAAGGGCTACCGAGTAGACCGAGTAGACAGCAGCAGAATCCACTCCATGTTCGGTTGGGTACTGGACTGCGGTTAGAGTACAACATGGACCGTGAAACATTGCAGAGGGAAGACAGCACACAATCCACATCTCACAGCAAAGGGGAGGGGGGGGGGGTGCAGGGGGCAGGGGCTTACTAACAGGGCAGGTATGTTTGACCCTTAGCCAAGGGTGTCTTCGTTGACTGGAGGCCCTCTGAGGAGGACCTTGCTCTATGAGGAAGAACCAATACCTGGCCAACAGTTGGGAGTGATCCCATTCATCCACGTTCTCGGATATTTCTCTCACAGGTAATAAGTCCAAGCCCGAAAAATAGTTGGGTTTTTCACATGCCAACTCAATGTTTTAGACAGGCTTCTGATCGACATGAAGGCTGGGATCGGACACCTGTCTGAGAAGCTGCAAGTCGTGAAGCTGGAGGGTGAAACGACTATTGATCCAAATGACGCTCAGAGCCAACTTGCTCTTCGCAGCATGAAAGAGCTTGTGCTCGCGCATGTTTTTCACACGTGCTTCTGGCAATCCAAGGATGAGAAGATGGAGGTTGAGCATATGCTAGAGCAGTGCGAGCTGAAGATCTCCAAGCTGTTAAGCCTAACTGCGCCTCTGGAAGAAGTCAGCGACCGTCAGCGGCGCATGGACGACGTATCCTTAGTTCCTGGATCAGCAGTGTTTGCCTCGTTGTTTTGCGTACATGCACCGGCCAACTGCGCTCGAGCTCGAAGGATGAAAAGTACGAGGAGAAGCTCATGCTGCGCAGCCAGTCCGAGGCCCGTATCAAGCTCAACGTCCAGGAGTCAGGGAACACATCTTGACACACACAGACACACAAAGTGAGGTTTGGAACTCGATATTCATCGATCGCTACGGTGCCGGACATTGGTTCTGAAGTTCTGACTGTCCAGGAGGAAGAACACGATGACGACGATGATGACCTGGATGAAGAGCTTGATGATGAAGTTTCACATCGTAAGCAGATCAAGTACAACAGCGAGCGCGTTGAGCAGCAGCAGCAAATCCGAAACAAGAGAAAGGCCAAGAGCAAGAAGAAGGACACATGAGCTGTCCTTTGCATGTGGGTGATCCATCACCCAGGATCAGTTGATCCTTGCATGTTGGGCTAAGGTCTATCCAATCCATACTTGTAGAAGGGCAGCCGGTAAAGGTTGGGAGCAAGGTTGGTGAGGATGTCCTCTGCCTGGCTGACAGACAAGCACTTGTGAAAATAAACAGCGCAATTTAGACTCGGGTGGTCCGGACAGGGTGTCCGTCTTGTCCAAATGCTGACAGGTGGCACCCTGACTGGACAAAATCCGAAGTTGGCCCATGTGTGGGGCGTTATGGCACGCTGCGGATTTCGCGGCCTGTATCAAAAACAATGTGTATGCTGAGGTGGCTGCAGAGGCGGGACCAGAAGCTCTAGAGAAGGTATCGAGAAGCTCCGGAGAAGCTCCGGAGAAGATCCAGAAACTTTTGATGAGAACTGCGGTTTATGTGGTCCTGACTCTGAGTCGAAAGGCTCTCTCATGAATGCATTTGGGAGTCCTGTCGCTGTTTCACTGTGCTCTGTCTCACCGAAAGAAGACGTTGCAAAAAAGAATCGCATCTGTGATGGTTTCTTCTCGAAGCGAAGCAACTGCTGGCCGGCCCACGCTGCTGAAAGTCCGTCGTAGGCTGTTATGGGGTTTCACCGAGTTTCACTGCGGCATGTTCCCAATGTTCAGGTGACAGGCTGGTCCATATGAGGGGTTGAAGCGGTACTTCGAACTGGGTCCGCACTGAGAGTATCATGGCATGTAGCCCATTGCCTGCCCAGTAAGATGGGTTGCTCCTGCTGTGCAGAGTCGCGCAAGCCAGATGCTGCTGTCCCTGTGGCTTTGACAGAAGGAGGTGCTGTTGGCACCTCGAAGATGAAAGTCCATGTTGGACCCTTGGAAATTGATGCTCATGGTGTGGTCGTCAAACCAAAGTTCAATTTGGGCATTGCGGGCGGCTCGCTCTATGCTCTGGCTGGCGTTCGTGATGTACGGGACGGCTTGGCTGTCGAGGGGCTGTCGATGTACATGAAATCATATTCAACTTCTGGCAGTTCACTGCTGGAAGTGCTTCACGAGATCCAGGCTCAGGAGCCCATTCCGGTTCTCGATGACTTCGTTGCAGCTATTCCGAAGATTGTGGCCTGCGTGTTGGAGATGGTCAGGGTGGACATCGACGGTGACAATGTTGCTGGAGTAGAGGGTGTGGTGTATGTCTATGTTGGCTCAGGTGTCACGGCCGGTATATATTTGGGCTGGGTTGACACGCAAGGATATGCCATGATCGGCTTGGAAGGCAGAGTTGCGACTGTTGCCGGAGCTGCACTTGCGCTTCGCGCCGGCTTGAACGAGGAGAGATCAGCGGCAAGAGTAGTGTCTTATCTTTCGAACGTGGGATTCGATGTTGTCGTGAGGTTTATAGAGCCATGCCAAGTCGACCAGTAATCAGAACGAAGCCCCGGCTGAGTGCTCAAAACAGCTCTCAACACGCGTTCCATACATCGCACTGTAGCGAGTTCGGGAGTACAGTGCGGCAGTGGTTGGTGGTGATTGCGACTGTATACAGCACGGTCGTGAGTTCTGGAGATTTCGGTGTGTGTAGCACAGCAGTGGTTGGTGGTGATTGTGATTGTGTACAGTCCATATTTCGCGCAGTGGCGAGTTCGGGAGTCTTCAATGTGTGTAGTGCGGCAGTGATGGGTGATTGTGATTGTTTCTGCCGTTGTTGCCGTTGCTTCAGTAGAATCACGCCGGGATGAAACACAGAATGCCGCAGATGGTGGCTAAGCTCAGGTCGTGTCAACTATCGCAAGTTGGCCTTCACCTCCTGCAGGCTTGAAGCGGTGCTGTTTTACCCGTTTCGGCAGCATTGCCCCTGTCACTCGCTGCTTGCTTGAGGCTTGGAAGGAGCAACGCCTTTGCAGTTGCCTTTGCTGGGTGGCGTACCAATGCTGCACTGGCAGATGTTTTCAATAGGATTCATGCCCGTTCTACTAGCTTCATCGTGTGAGGTATTGGAGTTCTTGCCCATGGTACCGGTCCGTTCGACGCCGGCAGATGGCAGCTCACCCCTCAGCAACTCTGCCCCGAATACTGGCTCATGTGTGAGTATGGAACAGAAAAGTTCTTGCAAAACGGGTGGTAAAGCGTATGAAGCGCCATTCTGTCACATTCTTTGTGAGGCCTGGTGACGGCAGCTCCGGTTGTGCCGGTCAGCCCTCTTTGGTACTTGTTGGAAGTTATGCTCTGCTCATCTCTGCTCCGTGAATGCAACAATGGCAAGGAACCAGCCTATCAATGGTCCTCGCTGGCATGCACGGGAGCATGGTCAGCCAGGCAGACGGTGATTTCGCTGCAAAACGGCGTAGTTTTGTATCACGGCTGTCAGGTTGTCTGGCAATGTTCAGGCAGGTCGACCCAGTGTCATGTCACTGTGCACATGTGCCCTGTGTGCCAATGACTGCCCGACTGCTCGTACACGTCTCATTTAGCTTTTGCAAAGGCACTGCAGCAGAAGAGGGCCGGGGAGGCACAGGCGGCAGCGTGGGCGTCGGTTGCAACCGAGGAGCCGGGGCATTGATTAGCCTTGCTAGGGACGGAACTTTTTGTTTCAGTGTTTTATTTATGAGCAGATGCTGCAGGTTTAGAATCATGTGTGGTGTGAGTCGCTACTTATCGGAAAAGCAACTTGTGTAGCTCGAAAGTGGACTTGAGTCAACACCTGACCGGTCACGTGATCTCACGTGCACTTGCTCTGCCGCGTTCTGCTCATGTCCCTTCATATTTTTCCGCTTACTTCCTCCTCCTTCACTTGCTCACTGTAAGAGCTTCGTCGGACTTCAAGCTCTGGACCCGGAGAAGCACACACGTACTGAGAAATGTGTGCGATTCCCGGACCGGTTCCTTTTCTGAGCCATCCCACCTCGCCTGAGCTCTCGCTCGCGGGTGCGTCGTTGTGCCTGGTTGCTCGAGACCATTCGAGACCCAGTGCAGCTTGACGGATCTTGAGCCATTCCACGCGGGTCCGTCGCCACTGCAACCCAGCCAGGAGAGTTGCATTCGAAGGAGTGGTACAAAAACAGTAAGTCCGTCGTTTGCTGAGGCGCGTCAGCTACGGGCACTCCAGGCCAAGACAACAACGCGTCGTTGAGTCCGGCACGGATTGATTTGTGGAGGCCCTGCAAACATGTATAAATATGTGCAAGCAACAGCTCACAGAAGAACGGTAGGCTGAAAAGAAACGCTTTCCAGTCAGAGACAGTCAGAGTCAGAGTATCCTCATGCCCCACGGGCCGGCGGCCCCAAGAGCGCCTGCGGATCGCGGAACTTCCTAGCCACGGGTATGAAGTTCAGCCCCGTGCTGAAAGACCTGTGCGCTTATGGCACGGGCTGCGGCTTCCGGTCGAGACGCAGATGTTCAGCCCCCGGTGTCTGTGATCCGAATCGGAGCAGTTGAGCTTAGCCCAGGCAGTGCTGATGCGATGCTGCAGCGTCTACCAGGGTTAGGCCGCCCCACCGGCTGCCACTTCAAAGCACGTCTAACCCATCTTGCATCAGGCAAGTTGGCGATGTGTCTCGCAAAATTCCAATAGGAATGCAAACAAAGTTGTCCCCATGTACTTCCCAACACCGCAACGCTTTCATGTTCCACTGGTGTAATATGGGCGGTTCTTCAGGACGATAGCCATGTAACGGGCCTGCTTGCCAGTTCCGCTCAAATTGGCATGCCATTGTCCCGACACGCAACCTCCAGTTCCGTCAGCACTTGCGCCGCTCCATGCGCTACGACATCGTGGGCACAGCCACAGCTTCCACCGCGTACGACGTGCAATGGCGGCAGCGGCGTCAGCCTTTAAATATGATACTACGTTATACTACAGAAATTATTACAACCAAAATCTGATTGCGGGACCGGGAAACGCGGGACCATACTACATGCCTTATTATACTATTACTACGAAAACATATTACATTGATACAATCAAATGACCGCGGTACCGGGAGACCACGGGACAGAGGACCAAAGGACCGCGGGACCCAAGGACCGCGGGACCCAAGGACCGCGGGACCAGAGCACGAGCGTGCGGGAGAGATCACGGTCTGGGAGCGGCACGCAATGGTCAAAACCCCAAGTAACTCAAGCAGAGGTTGACCAGAAAATTATGGCGCGAGATTTTATGTCTTACTGGCTTATGCAAAAGTTGTTGGAGCGGGTCACGGCGTTCCAGCGTGGCATTGGTCGACTTCTCGCAAACGCGGTGCCGGGCGCGGGAGGTTTGTTGGGTGGGAGGTAATGGGGAGGTTTCGCGTGCCCGCCAGAGACCCGTACGCCTTTGTTACGGCCACCCCGCGCTCGCACCTTGTGGGATGCACTAACCGACCCCGAACGTGAACCCCCTGCGCTGCGCACTGCACCGCCACCCCGACGTGATGCCCTGCAGCCCCGACCTCCCGTCGCTCTCACCACACGCAACCGTGACAGCCTTGCGCGATGCCCACCATGGTGCCCCCCGGCCTTTCCGGCACGCACGCCGAGCATTTCAAAGTCGGGGGACACCCTATAGCCCCCCCATGTTTTCCCTCCACCAACACGGTGGTCTCCAGGTGGCCGCATCCCGATTGCAGCTGCACGAACGCCTGTTGGCCTTCCTTACACGCGACCCAGAGCGCGCTCGCCCCGCGCTCGATGCTGTTTGGTTCTTTTTTGCACGCGCACTTTTTTTTTTTTTCAACTCCTTAAGCAAATTTGTCCGCCAGCACGATTCGGGCGGCCGGAGGTGTGGTCTGCAAGGTCCTAGCATGGGTAAAACGCCCGCGGCTTCAGCGAGGTATAGCGAGGTCGTGGCAATGATCGAGGTCTGGGCCCTGGGATGCCCTGCGATGCCCTGGGTCTGGCTCGCATGGAGCGGGCCATGCGAGCCATGCGGACCCCAATGCTGTGCCCGCTGGGCAGAAACCGAAAGCAGAGCCCATCAGCGTCGCGCCCAGGCCGAGTCTGCCTGCCTCCGTGCTGACCGCCTTCCCCTTGACAAAGGGAAAATGTCATGCACGCGGCCAACAATACGTCAAAAGCTGCCCGTAAAAGAGCCGTCTGAAGGGAGTAGTTCCGGCGCGGTCAACGTCGTCACAAAGTGCTAGCCCCATCCGTGCGTGGGCGGGCGGCCAAGGCGTCGGTACCGGCTTGGAAAAGGGCACGCTGCTTGATCGAAACTGGGCGCCCATCTCTTTCGTTGTTTTGACACTGACCTGAGCCTCGCTGTTGTTCGGCGACTTGCGCCAGTCTGTGATTATTGACATGGTCCAACGCTGGGCCAACTGGGAAACAGCAGCTATGAACAACAATATGTGGAATGAATCACGCGATGATTTTTGCAAATTTGTGATGGGGCAGGAATCTGCATAAAAGGTGCCTATAGAACGTTTCACCTGTACCCTAAAGGGGACGCCTTCGGACGATCAGGTCTCGACTCGACTACCATCCGTAAATGGGTGATGGCCACACCGGGCCAGGGTCCACTCTCGAACTGCGGAGATGGGGAGCCCGGAGGAGTGTAGGCTGACAAGGCAATGCAATCGATGCTGATAGACGGCATGACTGGCCAACGAAAGTACTGCCAATAAAACAACCCTGCAAGGAAACGTGGATATTCAAGAGCTTGGACCCCACAGCTGCTTTTCGGGATTTTTTTTTACGCGCGAGTCCTGCGGATCCAATCCCAAACGAGAAACGCCACCTTGATCAGCATACAGCAGAAGTGCCACGCGAGAGGGCACTTGGGCCAGGGCCCAACGCAACGCCCGGGACATACTGCGCGCGCAGCCGGCAACACCAATGAACAAAATTTTGAAGAGCAGCGGACCCAGGATGCTCCCTTGATGCACCCGGCCGTTTGTGTCCAAGGATTCCCACGAGCTGTGGTTTCACGGAGGAGGTTTGCAATTGCCGGCCAAATCGAACCACTAACACCGGTCTCCGCAAGCCTAACTAAAAGTCAGGCGCCTTCGGCCGCAGCAGCGGCGGGGCCGGGCGGCCAGCGACGGGCCGGAAGGCAGCAGCCGTGCTGCAGCCGTGCTGCAGCCGTGCCCAGGGCGATTTCGGCAACGGCCACATGCACCGCTACGGACAACAGCCCCCACCAACGGCGCGCACCGCAGCCGGAGCGCGACAGCCCCGCAGTCGCATCAGGGTCCGCAAGGCCCCGACCTCATTGCCGAGAAACATCAAGTGCTGGGGCCCGTTTCGCGCAGTTCACGGTACATGGACCTCCTCCAAGCGTGGTGAAGCGAGGCCCCGTCACAGGCGGTTCGCCGTCGCGCGCTAAAGGCGACACCATGGGAACAGAGCGCCACCAGGTCAAGGCGCGGCACCGTTGTCCGCACCAGCAGTTGCTGCTTGACAACCTGGCCTTCCGGGTCAACGGCATCGCGAGCAACGAAAACCTCCACAACCTTCGCGCGGCCAGCCAACAAGCGTGTGCACAGCAAAGGCAGCGCGTGGTCGCCGCAACGTCAACGGGTGCAATGAGCAGTGCAAAAACCTGTACGACACGTTGGTGTAAAACATGGTAAAACAAAGGCGGTACAACCCCCATGCGTGCAGGCCAGTGGACGGCTGCCAACGACCACAAACGTCGCCGTGCACACTGTACTGATGAGCAGCGCATAACAGCGCATTCTGATTCACACGATGCTGAATGCACATGTTTGAAGTTTTTTGATATCCACCTCGCGTGGGTAAGGGAACGCTGTTTGCGGTTATGGTTCACAGGATCAACCGTCCAGTAAAAGTTCCACCAGTTGCCCAACCGACTCCGACAACAATCCCTAGTGACAGTTGGCCGCAGCCGTAGCACTGTCACTACCGTACATCACTACGGGGGGACATGGGGGGGACACAAGACTTCAAAACACGGAACTGTTGCAGCGGGTGGCCCAGCAGGCATGCTGGTGCCAAACACCCAGCCGGAGCTGGTGGGCCTGAAGGATCCTGCAGGATGTGCCTCAGCAGACGGTGACCTCCTGCCCAGGTTTGTTGCGTGCACGCTGGCACAGCAGCTTTCGAATGATTTCGTGGCGGCTTGCCATCCACAGCAGCAGCATGAGTCCTGAAACAACCGTCTTGCGGTCAGTATTTACAAAGTGATTCAAAACGATATCGACATATATACACAAACTGAGAAGGTAAGCCACCTCACATCATAGATTCAAGCCTTCCGGCAGAGAACGCTGGGCTTGACACACGCCAGCCACAAAGTGCATGTGGGCTGACATAAGGCCTACAGTCTTGCACGGATGTTGCGGTGAGAAGAGCAGACGCAAAAACGCGTCGTCAGGCAGCTGCTCAACAGACACGTGGGAGAGGAGCGTCCATGCCCGTCGCCACGGTACAAAGAGGGGGCAAGAGCGCAGGGAAGCATGGCCGAGCTTGAGACCTGTGACGGGCAGAACGTCCATCAAGGAATGGGTGATGACCGCAACGGGCCAGCGTCCACTCGCGAACAATGGAAGTGGACACCCATGGACAGCTGGGCAAAAGTTCAGCCACGGATGACATTCGGCGAAAAG